TAGTGTATTTTACTCTGGTTTGTCTTTATTCCATCTGTGACCAACGTGATTCATTACACATCAGTTAAATATTCTGTCATTCACTGGTGACACGACTTCATTATGTGTAAATCACAGAAATAAGTTGAGGAGATGTGAGTTTGCAAACTTCAGCAGCGTCGCACTGAAGAGAGCTGTGTTGTGGTCTGTCTTCTCTCTGCCTGTGGGTTCAGACAGAAGAGGCCGAGTTTAAAGTCCTGTCTGAATTTATTTTCCAGCTGTGTCTGGACATTTCACCTTCACACTCAGCTCTTCGTGCTTCTCACCCAAAGGTGACGGCCATTGACAAACTGTGGAGGAAAACAGAAAGAACCTCATTTAATCGTCTGAGGAGACGCAGCGAAAGGTGCTGAGGTTCTTGTGCTAAGTTGTCTGGATCATTATCTTTCTGATTTGCATTCATGAAAACTGGCTGTGATACAAAGGTTCATCAGTGACAGTCCGTCTGCTGCAGCAACACATGTATGAGATCCAGCGGTTCATACAGCCTGAGCTGGTATTTAGAGTTGGTCATGGATAATCCGGCTCAGGGGAACGCAGACGTGTCTGTGGTGTTTACACCGTGTGATGTTCACTTGTTGTATGAGTTTAAATCTGAGCAGAATTTATGAAGAGAACGTGATGCAGGTTTAAAAACTCCAACAAAAGATTTGTCTTTTCGTCCAAATATGGTAAAACAAACTAAAAATGTTTCTCTAATCAGAAAAATCATCTTTGGAACTTGTAATTTCACTTGATGTTGATGTAAATTAACTTTAACACAGAACAGAAGAGTTCTTTTAATTGTAATTGCTAATAATTTAATGAGACAGACGATAATCAGCTCAAATCAAAAGAATTCACATCACGTGAATATGAAGAAAATACAGAGAACACGTTAAACTCAGGAGTTAGATTCAGTATTAAATTCCATTTCATTTAGCTGAAGTGCATCAACCACGAGGGATCAAACCCAGAACAATGATGTATAACAATGACTCTGGTGGGACTCGAACCCACAACCTTTGAATGGCCTCCTCAGTGTCGACGTTAGAGAGCTTGATGCTAGAAGTCCAATGCGCTGTCCATTGCGCCACAGAGCCTCAGGTGAGAGGATGTTGTCTCACTGAGAGTCTGAAGCTTCATGTGTGAACGTCCTCGAGGTGAAGACTGCAGCTGCTCCTTCTTCTTCTATGGTTTAATGTGTCTCTACCTCCTGTGATTGGTCCAAAAGTCCAAACTGTCCAACAAAGTGTTTTCACTCTGGTTCAGTTTGATCCAGACCCAGAACTCGTCTTCTGGTCCGAGGAACCGTTCACACCTGAAGCTTCAGCTTCAGAACCAAACGAGTCCTGAGACCACGACGAGTCAGATCCAAACTTTAAACTTTGTTTGTCTGTGTTTGTTCATCGGAGGGATTCGACATCAATGAGATGTGTGTGTGTGTGTGTGTGTGTGTGTGTGTGTGTGTGTGTGTGTGTGTGTGTGTGTGTGTGTGTGTCCTGAGATTTGAGGACATTGCATCATGCAGGATCAGTCACAGTCTCATGATCCTCTCTGACTCTTCAGCCTCAGTGGGACAGATAATTACCTGTAATCCTCCATTTTCTCCTTGTGTAACCTGCACTGCAGCAAATGAATCAGTTCATAATTCATTCACGAGCACGTGCGTGGTCCGGTTTATTATCTGAGCGAAGGAGGAACCACGACAGACGGTTTATATGAAAACAGCTGGATCTTATAGCTGACATTCATGATTCTTCTCTCACAAACATCTGTCCCTCTGGTGGCGGCTGCTTCTGATTATCTTCGATCTGTCTTTGACTGATCAGGATTTAGAAATAAGCCTCAACACAGTTCCTCTGGGGGGGGGGGGGGGGTCACACCAGGGCTATAAAGTCTGACGACTCGACAACAAGACACAACAGAGACACTGCAGGAGTTTGACGTCCTCTCGTCCTTCAAAACAAGTGAGTGTTTATACGCTGGTGATAAAAACCTGGTGTTCAAAGTGTTTGACAGTGAACTGAGAATTAACAATAAGACGTGTGTGAGTTTAGAGAAGAACAGTTGTCACCACTGAGAAACTCCTCAAGTCTGTTTCTCACAATGAAATATTAGGAAAGTTATAATTCTCATCATGTCACAACTTTGTTCTCATAATATAAAAACTTCTCGAAATATTACGACTTTGTTTTCGTAAAATTAAAACTTGATTCTCATTATTTTAAGATTTCAACGTGGCTCTAATTCTCCGTCACAGTTTCTCGTGAACCTTGAGACACTGAGGTTCATTGTTTAACTCGTTAATCCGTTTCCGTCTCTTCGTCCTCGTTCAGATTTCATGAATCATGAGGAGGACGTTCAGTTTTTAGTTGCTCTCCACCAGAATTTGACCTTTTCCTAAATTTGATAAACTTTAAATCTAGATCCTGAAATATAAAAGTTGACGATGACAGAATTAACTGATCGTTATTTGTTTTTAACCAAAAGTGAAAAAAATACGATGATCAAATT